AAAAAAAAAAAAAATTAAATAGAAAAAAAGATTGCCGTTTCAAGTGGTAGGCTCTTGATGACACCTGGTAGCAGCCTAAACTGTTTATTAGGTGAGTCAACATGTCGAGGTTCATTGAACCTAATGTAGGTCTCACGGGTTGGTTCCAAATCCAACTTCATTTTTACTAGAATCATGCAAATAATTTTTGGAAAAGGACATACATACACATATTTTAACTTCATCCGTCCCTATGCAAGGGAAATAATTTCTTTACAGGTTTATTACAACTACAAGTCTTTATGTCTAACTGAATAGAGGATGAAGTCTTTTATCATTATTTGATTGATAATAAAAGGAAGATAACAACTGTATCTACCAAAAAAAAAAAAAAGGGACCACTTAGTGAAATCCTTCACACCAGATGAAGCGTGAATTCCTTCTTGCTTGCTGGACTGGAACGAGTTCATAATTGAAGAAACACATGGTGTTCACTGATTTCGGCAACGGTGAGCTCGTCTCATCTACCTGAGTTCAATCACACTATCCCCACGTAAGTTACGAACATCATATTACCAAAAAAAAAAGAAGAAAAAAAGAAAAAAAGAAAGAAAAAAAGTTTGAATTTAAATTCTACTCGACAAACAACAAAATAGGATTAGTTCTGGATTATACTACATATTACATATATACAGAATATATACCACAAACATTCTCTAAAGTTTTTAAAATCCAACATACTCAATATACACAGTATACATACAAAAAATTAACAATATATATACCAAAAACCAACACAAAGATACTCTATAAACAGAATATATACGAAAAATGCACATTATACATACCACACAGAATACAATATATACACCTATAATAATCATTACGTTTGATTAAATATTAAAAAGGCTATTCCAAGGTCAATACAATACAGAAGAGCATAGATCAAGGCACATGTAAATAATTGATAAGAAATTCACCTCAATGTACTTGAATTGCTGCTCAGCGTTCTTAATGACGTTACCACAATCCAAGCACTTAAAGGTTCCGCCTGCACTGGTGCTGGTGACCGCGCCGCGCGCGGTCACCAGCTTCCCGATCTCGGCGGTGGTCAGCTCCATCAGTTTCCAGACCACAGAAAAAGGTTGTAGAAGGCGACATTGATGTCCTTGTTCGGGCTGTCGTAATAAAGGTGGGCTTGAGCTGCATGACTCATGCAGGCATTCCTCTGGTAGGGCTCGAAACGGGTGAACTCGTCGGAGATGGCCCTCTGGCGGAGATAGGGAGTGGAGATTCCGGTGACCGTGCATAGATGGAAGTGGAGGCAGAGGTAGATTTTAGGCCATGTAGAATTTCAATTTTCCGCCAATTGAATATGAAATGATGGAGTGAGGACCTGTTACAAAATGGGGGCGGTTGAAACAAATCACGACATAATTCCCCTTTAACTAAATATCAGCATTATACCATAATTAAAAAAGTTTGACTTAGTAAGATATTAATATTTGTAAATATAAATAATTGCATAAAAGCAATTTAATTGTGTAAAAATGTACTAAAAATTTTGTGGTAGCATTTTCGTCTATAAAATACTCTCTCCAAGCATTGTCTAAGGCTTCCCAAGTGATGGACGAGTTGGAGATAGTTTTTATCGACGAGAGCTGACATGTCAGAAACAACTTCGCATTGGAAGAAAAATGGTGGGGTAGGTCCGATTGGATGTCCGAATAAGTATATCCTTACGGGAGCAACTTGTCTACTTCGTAAACTAACACAAGCTCTCCCTGTGATTGGTCACATTCGCCCTCGAAATAGGACGAAGCCTCTAATTACGAGTCGAAATTGCTACCTCACCGTGTGCCCGCAAGGGGACGAGGCGGCCGCGAGGTGCCCGCTCGGTGGGCTAGCACATGCACCCGCGTAGCTGAAGCCAACATCTATACTTGGTGCATAACTTTAGTTGTTGTGACATCTTCAACTTTCTCTATTCTTTATTATACTAAAGAGTGTGTTCATTTAAGAGTTCGAGAGATATTTTGACATTTTGTATCATTCACAAAATGTTTAAATGCTCATTAAATGAAAACTTTAATTAACTCTCAAAATTCAATTCTGAAAAATAAATATACTAAGAGTACTCAAAACGTAGAATTTTTTTACGCACCTTAATTCATTATGAACTAAAATTTAGCCGTTAAATAATCACCAAAACTGGTCAGACCCAGTGATTTTCTAACAATTAATTGTGAAGAAGAACCTCGTCATTGGAATGAGATCTCCTATTACACAATTTGTTCAACTCAATATTCGATATATTGGATGAATAACACGGATAAATGGTAATGCGATATTAATACATTTGTTATTGGTTTAATGTAATGGGAAAAGTTGAAATGTAATAAATTTGTTGTATAATCACTAACCATCTTGGCGGCGTCATCTCCAGATTCCCCGTAAAAGATTGTGGTCCTTCTCTTGTTGTTATAGTATTTTTGTTGTAGCAACATCCAATAATAATGTTATCAAATTCATTATCAGAAACTGATGGACATTTTAATACTATAAAAAACTAATTTCTTATTTAAGCTAGGATTTTTTTTTACATTTCGCCG